CTTCGGTTGCTGTTGAGCAAACATGGTGCAGTTGAACATGAACCATTCACAAATTTGGTGTTGCCAAATAATTCGAGAAACTTCAGTTTCGATGAAACTTTGAGAACTCCAACGAAAATTTTCGGCGGGCAGTCAGCGTTGTTCAGCGTCAGCTAAGAAGTGAATGCTAAAAGTGACTGGAGATGAGCTACGTGCTCTTCGTCAGACGAACTGGAAACTTGCATGTCGTCAAGGTAAGGATAGGCAAAGTCTAGGCCACAGGTGACATCGTGGATAAAGCGCTGAACGATTTGTGCCACATTGTATACCCCGAAAGGCATTTTTAAAAGTTTGAACAAGCGGAAGGGGATAATGATGGCTGTCTTAGGTATGTTTTTCCCACGGGATTGTGATGGTAGGCTCGAAAAAATCGATCTTGTTGAAGACAGTCTTACCTGCGAGGCATGCAGCGTGGTCCTGAATATGTGGGACGGAGTATCTGTCGGGGACCGTAAGTTTGTTTATGGCCCGATATTCTCCGCAAGGTCGCCAATCGTCAGGTTTCTTTTGGACCATCTCCACTGGAAACAGCCAAGTGCTATCCGAAGGGCGGATTATGCCAAGTTTGTCAGGTTCAAACTCCGCCTTAGGTTGAGTTTCCGTGGCGAAAGTCGGCGCGGGCGTGATGAGACGGGTGGACCGCTGGTACGGATATGCTGCGTGGCATGAGATACCACGGAGAGAGCTTCGTTCCTTGGCTGAATGAGCTTAGGGTACTGAGAAAATACATGGGCAAAGTCGGAGGAAGTCTTTGGGCAAACCTAGACTGGGGTGATAGCAGCAGTGCCGGCATCGGTGCCAGTGACGCTGAGCGCGGTTGCAGGATCAACTATCCTCTGTTGTTTCGCATCGACCAAGAGGATGACGTGTCGGAGGACGTCTATGCCGATGATGACAAACGGGACGGCGGCATTATTGGACACTCAGTGAAATGTTCTACGGAGACCCAAGTTGAAGGTTACAGAGCGCTGAGCGTAATTAAGGCTGGGTGTGCCGTTGGCGGCAGGAAGTTTGAAAGTCGCCAGCTGAGAAGCCTCGCCAGGTGCAGGAGGAACCAGGGTTACTTCAACCCCAGTATCAATTATGAACGCGGTTCCAGGTTTGCAGTCCTGAACATATAGGGAGGCTACTACCAGAGATGTGGCCGGTGACGTTGTTAGTCCATGAGTTGCAGCTTGGAGATGTCTCTGATTGCGTCGAGGGGAAGTTGCAAAGAGTAGTACATTGCTTCGTCTGAGGGCCAAAGCGGCGGTGATACCAGCATAGTTTCTTACGTTGTAGGCTGCGTGGCTTGGCTAAGTTACTTTTACTTATCGACGAGTTATCAAGTGTTGAAGGTGAGTCGAGAGCGCCGCGAAATGTCTGTAGTTGGTTAAGTACTACGACAAGCTCAGAGAGAGGGACTGTGTGACGCCAGTATGAAGTAAGCGGCTGCTGAGCCGCATTATGGCAATTCGGCGGATATGTAGCGGGTGGCGTTAAGTAACTTACTTCCTTAGAAAGATGATTCACGAACGCATTAGTCAGTTGCGCGGCTAGAGAGATGGAAGACTGCTTGGCAGGTATGACGATTGCTTGAGCTATCTGGGGTAGGTGCTGAAGATAAAGGTCCAGAGGGATAGAGTCATCCATTGAGTATGAGCCGAGGAATCTCTTCATCTCACTAAATGGATGAATGGCCTGGCGTCTCCTAGGTGTAAACCATGTAATAGCTGCTTGGTTCGTAAACTCACTGAATGTTCCAGTCGGGACACGATTTCCTGCTTAAGCGACTCAAGAGAATGATCCGTATTTGGGCTCGAAAGAGTCTCCGTGAACTGTAAAGCGAAGTCCCTAGTAAGGTCCCATAGCAACTGACTACAGTTAGCTTGGTCATAAATAGTCTTATGAGACAAAAACTCATACTGCAACGAGATAAACCAAAAGGAGGGTCACTGAACCAGGTTTGGGGTAGACGACGATGCGACAATAATAGATGAGCCGAAGAGGTTAGTATCTGAGTGTGCCATAGAATATAACAAAATAATAGTTGCAAAACGCAATTCAAAGTAGAAAAAGAACTAGCCCACCAACATTATCGCGGCGTTGGCGGAACCCGCGCTCGTAGTCGGGGTCGCCACTTGTAACACAGAACTCAAGTCTTGGTTGTGACGAGAAGCAATAGGAACCAATACGGATACCAAGTACTCAGAAATGTGTATGTTGCCGCGCCCAAGGTGTACTGTAAGGAGCCGTAATGAACTACGGACAAAGTAGCAAGAGCACAGACCAAGGTAGCGCGCGAATCACAGGGAGTTCGAAAGTGCACCAGACATGCCGTCAGTAAAACAAATGAACGATCGGGAGATACGAAAAAGAATAAAATCCAGCATCAAGAAACACTGAAATCGTGAATGTTTTATGTTCACTACCATTTACTGCACAACAGTAGATCCGAGCCAGATAAACTTAGCGCGATTTTCCTGGCTAATCCTAACAATCAAATGATATCTTTCTTATCGTGCCAAAATGTGATCACATTTTCAATTCTTCAACTTCGCGCGCATCTTCTGCATCATAAATACAATTAGTTCCTGCTGGCGCCATGCTGTAAATGTGGCATTCTATTGCTCGAATATCAACGTTTAGAGAACCAATTTTATCTTCAGTCTCAGCATGATTAGCACCTTCATTTTTGTCACTTCAGTCATGAAGAAACTTTAGTGAATTTACACTTGACAGTGAACAATGAAGTGTAGTAAAAATGTCACCCCCTGTAACATACCGCCCATGGCGGACCGCCCCCACCCCCTCTCCGATGCTGGGCCTCTAGTTAGCCCACATTTCGTATGTAGCAACGGGTTCGGTAATAAACGCTAAAGGAGTAAATGATTTAGCTGAAAATTAGCATATCACAATGCCTGTTGGTAGTTCCCTACACACTGCTGGACCAACTTGTTGTTATGGCAACTTTGTGTTACGTCAACATTTCACTTATGCTTAATAAAACTGATTATCTATGTAACCCAATAATCTAACTTAGACCAAAAGTTTTGGTTTAGGATCGCGAAACAAATTAAACCGTTAGATGAAGATGATCATCTTACAGTTACAGTTGTTTGATTCAGAAAACACTTGATCAAAACCTAACTTCCAATGAGATAACTGACCCACAATTCGTGCTACCTGGCATACCGCGGTATCATGGTAGACTAATTGTTATGGTTGGGTAGCGTAGATTGCCTTAGTCGTCGCCGCGGTTATAATTGAGGGAACGCCGCCTCTCGATATGGATTGCGTAACACCTGATAAGATTGTCGCTGACCAATCGTACGGAGTTGCGCTGACCTGATGACGCTAGCTTAGCCGGGTGAGACGGAAAATTGAGCGAGCGTGTGACCGATCTTAGTCGCAAGTGTTCGGATAGACGCTGACCCCTCGGAACGGGCGCACACGAGAGGGGGGTACGATAGACGCGCGCTAATGACTTAGACGCGAAGGCTGGCCAGCTAACGATGCACACGCAATCACGCGATCCGACCGACTCCCAACTGAGGCGAAGAGAAAGAAAAGACAAGTGGTCCTCTGTAGGCTCTTTTACGACCAACAAAGGGCAATCACAGTGAGTGCTTTGGGTTATTAAGTTAAGGAAAACTGTCACCACGCAGAGGTGTTAGTTTGCAAATGAGTATTGTCGAAAGGTGCGCAGTTGGGACGCGCCTCGGAGTGGCTGAACACTGCTGCGTTGTGGGGAGAAATTGGACTCCGTTTCCCACAGCCATTACGCCGGAGTTACTGGCGCGTTTTTTGCGGGGATTTTTGACGGGCCCGCAACACTAATCCAATCATAGCCTGTATTGCAACTTGCGTAAACAAGCCTTTCATTATAAACATCAACATATAGTAATCAACTGAGATCTCCAGGTAAGCGATGCAGCTTCGCAATTAGTCTGAAAAATAGACTAACCTTACCGGCGGCAACTTAACATTAAGATAAATTTGGTCAAACAGCTAGAAGAATTCGATGTCAGCAGTCTGCTTTCTAAATAAATAAATAAACAGATAAAGCTTTTATTCTCGACAAGACGAGTCACGCCCTTACAGGCAGGATCATTCTGACATAACGATGCGTGATCAATAATGTGCAAAAATCCGATATGTTTGCCATAAAATTGTATGTTTGTGAAGAGGATAGGTATGTAATTGTGTGTATGTATCTGTGTACTTGTGCTTGTAATTGTGCCGTTCCATCTTTGAATGTTTGATATAGTCGGCAATGTGCGAGTAGAAGATTGGTGTCCGGGGGTTGGAAAGGATTATCCGGATATCCACGGAGCAGTGAGTTTATTTTGTGGCTAGTCACGACCGCCACCTCGCAGTGTTGTTAGACGGACCTTTGTGGCCTTTTATAGGGATAACGCTTGCCATGCGAAAAATTACCACGTCCTGGAACACTGCCGCCGAACTAATTGCTGGAACGCGTTAAACCCGAATCACCGGCTGGCACCACGAGGAGGTTGTTCGGCTAGCCAGAACGAATAATTTCCAGTCATGTCGTGGACTACAGATTTCTTGGGAAGATGAACCCGATGTTTATCTGCTAAATCTCTTACGATCCCAGTAACAGATTTGACCAGATTTCACTTAAATATGACTCGTGGTTCACATCGCCTGTCACGTTGAGATCGCACATCGAGTGTCTAAAACTGCATTCCACTAAATCTACAACCGTTCAGCATACTATCCGCCACTGCCATTGCAACAATTTTGACGAATCTATACGGCGGATACGCAATGCCGGCTATTACCGCGTGCAACACAACTAAAAATTTAGCCTTTTTATGGAAGTATCCGAACCTTAAAACCTAGGTTATTGCATGCCTAAGCTTGAGACTTGGAAAAACATCACCTTATCCGTTAAAGTATCCGAATCATTTGTCTATTTGCAAAGTCAGCGTAAAAGTTTTCCTTAGTTCTCCATTATGATGAATGTAGATCAAGAGTACCGAAAGGTATTCAGGTCTGTGAAAAATGGTTGCAATGATGGTTAGAACTTGGCATAGATTAGCACGCAGTGTCAACAAAAAAGTAACGAATCCGAAAACACCATTGCCTAAGAAATCGAAAACAAGTAGGATCAGCTGCTGCCACAAGAGCCTGAAGTAAATTCTATTGGTAGGTAATCAGCGCACTGTCCCAAACCGGCACCGGACAAAACATCACATTATTACTCAGTGAAAGATTGCAAAGCTTTACAATAGAGTGTGCATTGAATTACACGAAACGTCAGTGTTTTCAGCTGCCCATTTAATGTTTATCAACGCCAGTCCTTATCAAAAACACAAAATCGAGTCAGTAACTTAGTTACGTTTCGATCCCACCAGCCATCAGTGTCCGCAAACCAATAAATCCAAGTCAGACATGAAAGAAAGATGACGTATTAGTAAGCCGTTAATGACGTTGGTTCGGCTGTCATTACATTCAGCCTTATTTATGGATAAGTACTTGTCTACTGCATAGTAGCCGGCAGGTAGCTTATCGGAACGATGTCCATCCGTTACCGGTAGCTCAGCTGGCTTGCACCTGTTGCATTTTATTCGCTTTTTCTTTTAGGTATTGCGGCACAGTAGCTGAGGTGTTTCCCACCTCTAGCTAACGTGTATAGTATGTGTGTGTGTGTGTGTGTGTGTGTGTGTATGTGTGTGACCAATATGGACAGGCGGTTGAGGTCTTAATGTTGGAAATCCTAATCGCATAGGATACAATATTTGTGATTTTATTTGTGATTTATTCGCCTGTATATAGACAGAACTTTGACCAGAACAAATAAAAAATTTCGGTGCTGAGCAGTAATAGAGTAAGCCGTAGCATTATGTATATGTTTACAGTAATAATGGCGGGATGCAACTGCGTTAAACGAGTATTTGTCAATAACCTTCATATTCTATATAGGAATTTTCAGATTACTTAGTGCGATTGGCCACAAGCAACCCACATCCCCTGCCTGTGCATTATAATCTCAAGACAAATGCTAATCTGTAATTTGTTGTAAAATAATATTGGTGCTTCCGGCTCACTGCGTGAAATTATTGGCGCTATGCCAAGCATTTGCGTGCTTTCAATTCCAGGGGGGGGGGGGAAAAAAATATTGGGGGGGTGGGGGGGGGGGGGGGGGGGGGGGGGGGGGGGGTAGGGGGGGTGGGGGGGGGGGGGGGGGGGGGGGTGGGGGGGGGGGCGGGGGGGGGGGGGGTTTATATAAACTATATATTTTGGGGGTTTCTTATTTTGGGTTGGGTTGGGGGGGGGGGTTTGGGGTTGGTGAGGGGGGGGGGGGGGGGGGGGGGGGGGGGGGGGGGGGGTTGTGCA